CACAAATAAGAAAGTATAAAAGAAGCAGGAAGGTAAGTAAGACATATGTATGGGCAATGGTGGTAGGACCAGCAGCATGCTATTGTTATCTACACAATACAGATAAATGACAGCATGTCATGTCTAGAGTGGCTCACTGATAGGCTCAGTTAAGAAGGAAAATGTTTGTGATACTCCTTTCATCAGGCAGTTTTGAAGCACATGCCCAGAGGAGGTATTTGGTCTAGGGAACCAGTCTAAAGCTAATCTGAAGTAAACACCTTGAACTATAGCATGCACACATCTAACTGCTTTGTGTTACTGATCCACTCCTATTGTGCTGCATTACTTAAATAATTTAGACCACACATTTGAACTTCAGAGTTAAAAAATTCATGTGTTATGCTGGATTCTAACACTTTTTTTTCTGTCCTTATGGTTAAAGGTCTTGCAAGTAGTGTAATGAGCATGTGAGTGGTCTCCTTTTAAACCAGGAAAGTAAATCCCAGAGGCACAAGAAGGAGGGAAAACAGCAGGGTAGAAAGCACTTCCTTTGACCCCTGTTTTTCACCTTCACTTCCAGCAGACCAGAAGCAAGGAGTCACAGTCAGAAAGGGTCATAAACATTATGACATCATTTTGCAGCATCTCCTAGTTTGGAAACTGTCTTTAGGAATGGAAGTGCTAAATGGGAGATTATTAAACACCAGGATTGAAATCAGCTTACTGAGCTCTGGGGTGTCTAAGCGAATAGCAATATAGCAACAGCAAACACATGATGTGGTCTTTCTCTGTTACATACACAGCATAGTTAATGAGCATATGCACAGTAGTTCTGTTTTCCTAAATGCCAGACTTACTGTGCTAGCACAGAAGAGTGCTAAATATGAGTAATAAGTCCAGCACTTTTTGGAAGCACAGTTTTACCATTCATATAACACCACTCACAGACAGCATGTACTCATAGCCTGATCAAATCCTACTTCTTGTCTAGTTCTGCAAAGCACCCAAGAGGCTGGCTGCCTGCACACCACTGCTATTCCTGAACTTGCTTTGTACTGAGACCTCTCTATGCAGGAAGGAACAAGCTGCTTTAAGAATAGCTCTGAAGCCAGAAGAAAGCTGCTCTCAGCGAACATCTTTCTTCCATCTGTCAAATGAGAGAATGTGTTCCCATTATGTGCTGGGAGAAGCAGCCATACACTGAGCATCCCACACAAAACCAATCCTTTTTCTTTGAAAAGTTCTGAGATAAGCTAGGATAATTGTTATTTTTAAAAAATATATTAGTTTTTGAGGAACCCACTGAGAAGTCACTTGCACATATGTTTGGGATGCTGAAATAACTTGACAATGCTCCCTAAGTTTCCTATGGAACCTAAGTGTGACTAAAATTTTGTCATGACTGCTATTATTTTCTTAGTCAATTAAGCATACATTGCACACAACTCTCTTCTCATTTTAATAAAACATATAAAATTCTTCTCCAAACATTTATTAATTTCATTTTTTCACACAAAAAATCTTAAATGCAATATTAAACTCTGCTATGAAATTCGTTCTAAGACTGATGTCATATATAAAATATTTCCACTTCAAGAATTAACTTTACAAATTATATTTCTAATGGACTGTCTTAATCTTATCTAATAATAATAAGCCATGAAGTGCTCCAGTTAATATTAATGTGAAACTTGAATAACCTAAATTATATTGGTACAAGATAAGAATTTGGGCTACAAGCTCTAATCGAACAAAAATAAAGGGTATTTTGAAAAGAATAATTCTAACTGAAAGATTTCAACTCTATCTACCTATTGGTGAACATATCAGTTTACCTTCCTATGAAATGTTCTCCCCAAATACAGAATCATCATGGGAAAATATTTTGAGAAATCCAGGTAAACATATCTTTTTATACCAGTTAAATAGTGCATAAGAAATTACAATGATTAATTATCTATATTCAGACAAATATGTGGGTGTTTTTTCCCTATTTAAAACTACTTCAAGCTCTGGAGCATGGTTTCTAATCAGGATACTGGTATTTGACATATAGAAATTCATTACTTTTTAGAAAGGCAGCAATTATGAGTAAAAAAGACAGCCTTTCCTTCCAGCTACTAAATGCCTGTTGCATTTCCAGGCTGTAGAGTTGAATATTGATCAGACTAACAAAAAGAGCTTTAAAAATAGATTTGTTGCTTGATTTTTACCCTCTAAGCTTATTCAATGCTGCCTGAGTATATGGCTTTAAGGAAGTGTTGTTCCATAGATGTTTTTTAAAGCATTTAACCTCCACATCAAAATCTGAGCTACAAGGTATCTGAAGACAAGAAACATTAATAGTAAAACTAAAAATAACATCATCAGCATAGTTATTAAGTAGTAAAAAACAAGGAGTCATCAAGTTTTAAATTAAATGAGGAACAGAAAAGAGGTAAATGTTCAAAACAAACAAACTAAAAGAATTTTTATCTAATGGGATTCAAATTAGTGTGACTCCAATTATCATTTGAGGTCTTAAAGTATTTAGATGGTATATAGGATTTTGAATGCATGATGACAGAGCTGAAGTTAACAACAAATAAATATATATACAGAAACATTCCACGGTTCACTGCAGGATGTGGAAGTGTTTTATGTCTTTAACAAGCTGTTGTGAATACAGCAAGGGTGAGTTACATTAGATAAAACTACCCATGATCCCAACTTTTGGGCTCCATAACTGTAGGGATAGTTTCCTCTCAGAAGAATTTTTAAGAGGAAAGCTAGACATTGATTACACTTAGGAAGCCTGCAAGGTGCCTTCTTGAGAGGGTTAGATGCTTTTTTTGCCTTCTGCAGTCCAGAGGGGGTGGCAGAGAGAGCTGTGTTATCTCTCTCTCTCCTATGCCAGAGAGAAATAGCACTAACAGACATGTACAGAGGCCTTGGAAAGGCAGGGGAGAAACACGGAGGATAAAGAGGCCTTAAGAGGGTGGTAACTCACCTTTTTCTCCCTGGGGCCCAGTGCAGAAACTGCACTGTCAGGGATTTTGTAAGTTTCTGGACTTCTAAATAAACTTTCTGAATTCTTTCCACTGCCTTGGCATTTCTGGGGATACCGATACCTGCGTGTCTTACTTTACAATAACTATTCTGACAGTTGTGCCTTCAAAAGAACTCACTTTTGTATAAGAAATTACGTATTTTTACTGTGTAAGCTCTTTTACATTGCCGAGTCATTTAAGTGAAGAAATGCGACGCACAGCTTTTGACTGCCTTTGTTTTGGTGTAAGAACTTGGCATCAAAGACATGTTAAAAACATGGTTCTTAAGGACTGGGGTTTTTTAGCTCAACAGGGAAGATGCTGAAAACTACCTCACCATTATTCAGCCCATGCTTCAAGCCATCCAGAACTCTTCCAAGTAACTGCATAACCATCTTGTTCTAAACTGGTTTCAAGAGTACCTCTAAATCTTGATTATGTCCTTTCTCACATTAAAAAAACTTCAAAAATACCTCGGTTGTAGTTTTATAACAAAATCTGGTCTCAGCATTAGTGAAATCTCCAAAAGCAGACAATATTAACAATATTTTCATAAACACCAGCCACCGAGTGCAGATAGCACTAAGATGCTGATGTATTAATAATCTATTTATTAATTTTGAAAAATGTAAATAAGAATATATGAAAGTTGATCTCTCTAAGAAGTATGAAAAACGGATTAAGTATATCATCACCTACGAGCTTGCATTAAGATTACAAAAATTTTGTTTGAATGATAGCATTGCTGAAAAATTAAAAAATTCACAGTTAAATCTTTAATGTCAATTGTAATTCATCCAATGCTACTTTTATATACTCTGTTAATTGTACCCTTTATCTCATTTGTCTAATATTGTATGTGGAAAATTATTATCTTTAATGATTTTTCGTGTTTCAGTGCCTAGACTCATATTGTAATATGTATGGGTTGACTAGCACCTTCAGATAAAGATATTGTTTAGCAACTTCTGATTTTACCATACAAAAGCAACCCTTGTTCTCTTTTACAAGTCATCCATCCAGTAAGCCTTGATGCCTCAAAAAGCCTCTTCCAGCAACATCAGCTTCATGCTCTAGACTCAAAAGCCCTTTAATAACTCTTCTCATTCTCCAGCCATATGAAGGTGCAAGTGGACTAATCTTTATCTCAGTTATTTTACACATGTTGCTACCAGAACTCTCAATGCACTTTAGAGTTGTTTTTATTCTGGTCCCAGTATTTTGTACGAAGTATCCCTATCATATGTGGCAGCCTTCTGAGCCTTACTGGTCCCTGCTACTCCTCATTCATTCTCCTTATACAGCTTTCCTAATTAAAATGATGGTATTTTATGCTAGGTCCACTGTCTCTCTTGTTTGGAATGGTAGTAGAAGCCTCCACTGATATATTCTGGTAAGCAGAATATAAGAGCAATCTCTTTCTACTGTCGATTTTAAAATCTACACTTTAAATTGGCTAGCACAAAAAATGATCGGAAAAATGATTGCAAGTTATTCTGTCCACAGCTGAGAAGCAAAATTCATATACATTGCAACAAATCAAATATGAAACCTGAAGGAAATCTCTGCATCTAACATAAAAGGCAGGCATTAGGAAAACAATTTTTCATCCAACGTTTTTAAGAATACTTATATGAAGGGTAAAATATTTCCAGGGCAACTGCTATGTAAGAGACAAACAGTCCAGGATTTATGAACAGCCTTATTTACACATATGTAATGACAGTCTATCAACAGGTTGTAAAACCAAAAATAATTAAAATAAAGCTGAAACAGCATCACTTCAAATTACAGATTTTACTTTCCTTTGCTTTGTCAACTATATCTATGTAAAGGGAGTCCAATGTAATGGCATTATTTTATGCCATGGTTGCATATGCAAAAAACATGTCTACAAAATCAGTAGAGAGTTATGTTTATTTCCATTAAAAAAATGTTTCAAATAATGTTAAGTTAGTTCCCTCGTCTGGATAATAACAGAAACTATACCTTTGGGAGAAGCTGGATTGCTTGGAGTATTCTCTGTCTGTGCCCAGAATTAAGGATTCCTATTTCCAAGAGATCCTGGTCCTCCATCACGTTGCTTCCCTAAAAATTGGAAAAAAATAGTGTAATAAAAATGAAAAAATAACAGATGCCTTCAATAGCCTGAAACAAGCCCTTCTGTTGCATTTAAAAGATAATACTTTGCTTAATTTATAGCATCTGACAAGAATAATAAATTACTGATGATTGCATTCATTTTCACGATGACAAAATATGGTGGAAGGTGCTTGAAACCATGGACAATTACTATACTGCTGGCAGCACTGCCAGTGGAGAAATTGTAGCTCTCACTCAAGCCAAATACCAGATGTGAACCTTCTTTCATTTGACTGGCACCAAGGACATGACTACAGAAATATTCAGAAGCTCTCAATTTTTCAATTCACCTCCTACCTCACTCAGCTATACATGATGTTCATTTTTCTCTAAATTGAAAAAAAATTAAAACAGAATAAGATGAACAGAGTGGATGAGAATAAAATTATTTAGTTCCTTGTTAACAAAACGATGAAGAAAGTGAGTGGTATCAACCAGTCCCCATCCCCCTAAATTTAACTGTACCAGTACAATCCTAACTACTTGTCACTGCTCTTATCTCCCTGCTTGTGGGCAGGTCAAATAATTCCTAACATGCAAATAGCTGAAAAAGACCATCTGTTCAAATAATACACTAAATAATTGCTCACAAAAGTTCATAAAATAAGCCTACATAATTCAAGCATTTCTTACAAATTGCTAGCAGTAGGAGAGGACCTAGAGCTACAGAAATAGTATAATACAATTCCTACATTCAAGGAGTCTGACATCACCCAGAGTAAGTTCAGCATTTGAAGGTTAAGATACATTTGATGAGCTGGCAGTTACTATTTGGAATCATAGGAGGCAAAGCAGTAGTCCAAAAGGGGAATTCCAGCAAGAGATCAGATCAGAATAATTTAAAGTAGGCTAGCAATCTTGGACTCCTTTTCTGACATCTTCATTTCAGATAAAACCTCAGCTTTTTTTTTTCAATGTATATTTTATTTTTAAAAATTTTCTAACTATTATAGTTGAAAACAAAACCTGCAAAAAACAGATGATCTGTATTGATCTCTTAGCCCTGTTGGAGTCTCATGACACTAATTTGCTAGAAGCAAAAATTCTTATTATTCGTACTAATTTAATTCATCATGAAATAGGTTTTATGTGAGCAAACCCATGAAAACATCTCTCCCTTTCCATTAGGTTTGCTGCTTCTGACTCACCACAGCTCTTAAGAAGCAGCAAAATGAAAAGCTAATAGGGGCATAACAGAACATGTTTAAATACTTTGCTGAGTCAGGGCTCTAATAAAGGAGCCCTGATTTGATATTCTTTCTGAATATCAAATCTCCTGTTCCAAAGCAACATGAATTTCTTTCAAAAAGTACACTGGAATATGCAATACTTCACCCTGTTTAGCTGCTAAATCTTCACTCTTTTCAGATGGACTGATTAGTTTACATGGGTACTTCTGAGGACTCTTAAGTGCTGCTCCGCAGAGTACCCTGAAAAATCTGGGAGATGTCTTTTTAAGGTAGTCATGGAAACCTTGCAAAGCTACTATATTTAAAATTATATTTCACAGTAAGTGGTATGATTTAAGACTAGGAGTCTGCAGATCATACCCTGAAAGAATCTTCATACAGCATTCAGAACAGGGCAGGTAGAGACCTGTTCTAAAGGGAGAAGCTGTGCAATCATGCTGGTTTAAGCAGATCACACGATGAGAGTGCATGCAGCACAGACTGTGCAAATAGTGATAGTGATGAGGAGGGGTTAATATCCCCTTCATCTCCCTAGTAAACACATACAAAATATAATTTCCCCTTTCTGCCTTTCTCTTTTAAATAACATAAAGGAGGCTGTAAACTTAGAGGAAGAACTCACGAAAAAAAGCCTTCCATTTTGGGCTAGATTCTCCAGATACTGGAAATAGCTAGCATAAATGGATTTAAGGAAACTGAGAATCCAGTCCAAAACAAAGGCTACACATTTTCATTCATTTTAATAAATGCAGCTATTTTGCTTGCAGCTTTAATTTCATTTCACTTCACTGTTTTTCAGATTTCACCTTTCATCATTGCATGATGTTTACACACAATCATGGTGTACTCATCACTGTTTACTGGTGTCAGTAACCTTGGCATCCAGCTTCAAATACTGCAATGTTTAAAACTCAATTAAACTAGCAGGCACAGGAAAAATCCTGTCAATTTGCACATAGCTGCTGCCAAGCAAAAAAAGCATTACTTTATTAATTCTTTGCTATTTTTTCCTTATATATAATTTAATGAATTTTTTAAAGCTATGTCAAGGTTACAAAATCAAGTATTTAAAACTCAGGAAAGCCTGGAATTCACGTTGCCTCATTGTTCCTAGTTTAATAGGGCAACAACCTGGTCTTTTAATGGAGCTTTTGCTGTGTCAACATTAAGTGTCAACAGTAGCAGATACTCATCCCTCCTGTAAAACTGACTTTATTGTTGCCTGCCATGGAACTAAACTAACTTTTCATCTTTCCACAAAAGCAAACAGGAAAATGTAGATACTCAGTATAATCCACCATTGGTTAACACAGAGGAATTAACTCATAGTATTAGAAAGCTGTTGTTTGGTCTGCAGAAATACCTGTGAAGAGAAAGAAACAGTAAGTCCCCAACAGTCCTGTCTCCCTTGTATCTGCTCCCATTCTCCCCTTAATCTTAGTCCCTGATTATCTTTCTACCTGACTACTCCTCTTGTGCTCTTCCAGTCTCCTTCCATAGGCTCCTACATTGAGAGTGAAGGAATATTAACTTCCTTTTGCAGCAGAGTAGAAAAAAGAGGAGAAATTCTCTCCCTGCTCTTAGCTTCCATCTATTATAAACTGGGCCAAATGTAATCTCAATTAACTTTGTAGAGATGACATGGTAAATGTAATTAAAATTAATATGAATGCAAGACTGTCTTTTCACATTATTTCATCCTTAAAAATAGTTGAGCTACATTAGCTGAAACTTTTGCCAAAAAAAAAAATCCTAGTAGACATCTAGAGAATTTGAGTCCAGAGATTTAACTTCAATATGCTTACATACAAAACAGGTTCTTATAACAGGAAATATGGGACAGCAATCTCTGTTAGGCTTATTATGTTTTTCTACAGAAAACATGAGACTTTGTGATATTGTAGTTTCTTAAGTCTATAGAAAAAGTTAAAAGGAAAATGTCTCAGAATTAAAGTCATAAGAATATACCAAAACTGCTTATTCTAGGACAGATTCAGATTTCATTCACTTCAGTTGTTGAAATTCCTGTCTTATTAGTGCATAACAGTCTTATGAGTTGGAAAGATCCTGCTTCTGAAGTTCCAAGTAGAAAAGAGTATATCTCAAACCCTGCACCTCCCAGATTTGTGGTTCTGCACAACTCTCAGAGAGGGACCTGGGGGTACTAATTGACAGGAGGCTCAACATGAGCCAACGGTGTGCCCAGGTGGCCAAGAAGGCCAATGGGATCTTGTCCTGTATCAAAAATAGCGTGGCCAGCAGGAGCAGGGAAGTGATCCTTCCCCTGTACTCTGTGTTGGTGAGGCCACACCTTGAGTATTGTGTTCAGTTCTGGGCCCCTCAGTTCAGGAAGGATATTGAGGTGCTGGAGCGGGTCCAGAGAAGAGCAGTGAGGTTGGTGAAGGGACTGGAGCATAAGTCCTATGGGGAGAGGCTGAGGGAGCTGGGGTTGTTTAGCCTGGAGAAGAGGAGGCTCAGAGGTGACCTCATCACTGTCTATAACTACCTGAAGGGAAGTTCTAGCCAGGTGGGGGTTGGTCTCTTCTCTCAGGCACTCAGCAATAGGACAAGGGGGCACGGGCTTAAGCTCCGCCAGGGGAAATTTAAGTTGGATATCAGGAGAAAATTCTTTACAGAGAGAGTAATCAGGCATTGGAATGGGCTGCCCACAGAGGTGGTGGATTCACCATCCCTGGAGATTTTTAAACGCAGATTGGACGTGGCACTGAGTGCCATGATCTAGTAAATGGACTGGATTTGGACCAAGGGTTGGACTCGATGATCTCGGAGGTCTTTTCCAACCCAATCGATTCTATGATTCTATGATTCTCAAGATCATAATCTTCTTCTCTGTAAGCACAGACAGGAAGCCAATATCCTGAGTAAGAAGGCAGTAGTTTCACAGAACAGTTGGGTTCAAGAACGAAGGAAAAATGACTCTGCATGTGGGAGACTGGAGGCATATGAAAAACAACATAATTTTAAAAACCCAGAAATTTTGCCAAATTCTGAGATAGTTCCTATAAATAAGTTTAGAACAAAATACATAATGGTACATTATGAGATAGAGATTTCACTGGCATGTATTTGGGTTGTTCAACACAAAATCATCTCTGGCATTTTCCACCTGAATAGAGACTTTGCCAGAAATTCTGGATTAGTCCTTTATACAAGATTCCAAATATATTTAAGTACAGATATATGTATATGAAATCTTTAGAAAACAACTTAACGTGGAATATGACAGATTTATTAAAAAAATACTCTTTTAAAAATACCTAATATTAATACATTAAACAGCTCAGAGAACCTCTAAAATCTAATCAAACCACAAGTTTCACAAACCTGTAGACAACTTCATTTACTATCAAAACAGATCAACTTTGAGGATTCTTGGAAAAAACAAAGCAGCAGCCCATATGCATTCTATCTCCTGCAGCAACAAAAGCACTTTGAAGATTTGTCCTTGAAGACAATAAAATATGGTGATTAGAAGAACTTATTAGGTGGCAGGCATGATTGTATGTTTCCCATCTCTCCTTTTGTACCTATGTTTTGAAATCTTAGTTCGTATATTTTTTGTGCTTGAGAACTGTCACGAAAAATTCTAATGTCTGGTTCTGTCTCCTAAGTAAAATGGTACAGAAGCTTTAAAATAGCTGGCAGATGTACCTCTAGACTTATGTGAAAATGCAACCAATGAGGTTGGAAGACATGAGCTATGGGGAACAAACCATCTGCATATGATTTTTGGTC